GGAGCCCAACCAGAACTGTGATTTTGGTAGTACCCACGAGGCAGGATTCTCTTAGTAACACCACGTATTATTTCCTGTGAAGTTACCTCCAACACTCAGCTTGCTAAGAGCCTCAGCATTTCAAGATTGGGCAGGACTGGCCAGGCACAGTGGCTTGTGTGTGTAAAATCACGCCTGTCACCCCAGCACTTTGGGAGGCCGAGGTAGGCACATTACCTGAGGTCGGGAGTTTGAGACCAGCCCGGCTGACGTGGCGAAACCCCGTCTGTACTAAAAACACAAAATTAGCCGGGCGTGGTAGCATACACCTGTAATCCCAGCTACGCGGGAGGCTGAAGCAGAATGGCTGGAACCTGGGAGGCGGAGGTTGCGTTGAGCCGAGATCACACCATCGCACTCCTCTCGGGGTGACAAGAGTGAGACGCCATCTCAAAGAAAAAAAAAAAGAAAAATGTCAGTAACGCGAAGTGCACTTGCTGGTCTTTGAACTGTAACTTTGGATACCCTCCCCCGCCACCACAGAATCCCCCAAATCCCCCAGAGTCCAGTATACCACCACGTGGGATTTCACTGGAACTGCTAAGGAAACCATGCCCGGATTACTATGTTAAAATCTGTGAAGTCACAGGAGTGAAAACACGTCCAAGAGTGGATGAAGCAGTTACCACAGCTCCAGGCAGGAACTCGGAGCCCAGGTCCCCGTGGGTCGTGGCTGTTTTGTGGAGGGTGTGCAGGACCCACGGGTCCCCGTGGGTCGTGGCTGTTTTGTGGAGGGTGTGCAGGACCCACGGGTCCCCGTGGGTCGTGGCTGTTTTGTGGAGGGTGTGTGGGACCCACGGGTCCCCGTGGGTCGTGGCTAGTTTCTGGAGGGTGTGCAGGACCCACCAGTCCCCGTGGGTCATGGCTGTTTTGTGGAGGGTGTGCAGGACCCACGGGTCCCCCTAGGTCGCGGCTGTTTTGTGGAGGGTGTGCAGCACCCATGGGTCGTGGCTAGTTTCTGGAGGGTGTGCAGGACCCACCAGTCCCCGTGGGTTGTGGCTGTTTTGTGGAGGGTGTGCAGGACCCATGGTCTCTGTGGGTCGTGGCTGTTTTGTGGAGGGTGTGCAGGACCCATGGTCTCTGTGGGTCGTGGCTGTTTTGTGGAGGGTGTGCAGGACCCATGGTCTCTGTGGGTCGTGGCTGTTTTGTGGAGGGTGTGCAGGACCCACAGGGTTGATGGTGGAAGCTCCTGTTTCTCCACTTGCCTCCGGGCCCAGTCACGTGATAAACACGAGACTCATCGGGACACAAATGAGGGTTTCTACCTGGCAAAGTGCAGAGATGTAGAGTCTGCCTTTCGGGCCAGGCACGGTGGCTCACACCTGTCATCCCACCGTTTTGGGAGGCTGAGGCGGGCGGTCCATCATTTGAGGCCAGGAACTTGAGACCAGCCTGGCAAACATGGTGAAACCCCATCTCCACTAAAAATACTAAAATCAGGCGGGTGTGATGGCGCACGCTTATAATCCCAGCTACTTGGGAAGCCGCGGCCGAATTGCTTGAACCTGGGAGGCAGAGGTTGCTGTGAGCCGAGATGGCGCCACCGCACTCCACCCTGGGCGAGAGCAAGACTCCAACTCAAAAAACAATTTTTTTTTTTTTAACTACGGCTGGGATTTGTGGAGAGCCCAGGAGAGCCAGCTGTGGAACCCCAGGGCTGCGGTCCCTGTGGCCCTGCCGTGTGCTGGCACCACCAAGGCCCAACGTTCGGCCTGGCAGAGTCAACACGGCGTTTCTTGCCTCGCAATGAATGCGCGCAAGGAGCTCGAAGGAAGCTGGCGTGCCCGGCGGTGGGCACCCCCTGTGGTGGGATCCTCACGGGTGAACCCACGGACACACAGCGGCCACTCTGGGGACCCCAGCCGACTCCACTGCTCACGCTGGAACGGGGGCTGGTGTGGCCCTCGGGAGCTGTGGGAGGTGGAAAGGAACGCAGGCCCTCATGCCCGTTTCAGTCTCCCCAAGATTCAGCCTGAAAATACCCCTCTCCAAAGTGACAGTGTGGGAAGTGGGGGTCTCCGGGAGTGATGAGGTGGTAAGGCCTCCTGGATGGGATCCCCGCTCTTGTAAAACGGACTCCGGAGAGCTCCCTGGCCTCTTCCATCGTGTGAGGACACACAGGGAGAAGGCGCCATCCGGAAGCCAGGAACCGGGTACTCACCGGAGACCGAACCTGCCACACCTTGGTTTTCTGCGACTCCCAGCCTTCAGAGCTAGGAGACACGTGTCTTATTTACAACCAAGCCAACGTGTTACGGTCACACAACTGGTCTCAGAGAAGGCACAGTAAGTGCAGGTGCCCTGGGGACCTCCAGCATTCACCAGGGAGCCCGGCTACATTTCCGCCAGCCTTGGTTTCTACCCCCCTCCTCTTCCCAGCTGGGACCTTGTCTGCTGTGTCCCGGGGGTGCTGGGGAGGCGGCGGCACCGCACGCCAGGAACGTGGGCCGGCCACAGGGGCAGAGCGTGGCCCCACCTGCGTCCCATGGGCCCAGCCCCCATCTCCAGACCCCAGGCTGCCCGTGGAGAGGTGTGGTCAGGCAGGAGGCCCTCTGTGTCCTCGGTTTATTATTTTGCAGCAGGATGCCCAACACAGAACATACTTGCTAGTACTCGGCTGTGCAGAAACAGGGGCTAGCGCTGAAGTACAAATGGGAAACATGATTCTTTTGTTTTAAATAAATACTTAAAACATGACTCGGGTCCTACAAGCGTCTGGACTCTAGGTCTCAGTGTTGGAGTGCCTCGCCCATGGGCCCGCGGGGACGCCATGGTTCCCTCCCACCCCGTGATCAAGACATGGAATCGGGGGCCGACGACTGGATCGCGTCGCGCCCCTTCTCTACAGCCTTCCCCGGCCGCCGCCTACGGGCAGGGTCCGGCTGGGAAAAAGACAAATGGAATTTCTCGAAGGTTGATGGTCCGCACGGTTGAGGATTCTACGTGGTTCTCTTGGTTCCCTTGGTGTGTGTGGGGAGGAGGCCGCGGCCCTTAGATCACCTTCTTGAGCTCGTCGTACAGGACCAGCACGAAGGCGCCCCCCATGCCCCGAAGGACGTTGGACCAGGCACCCTTGAAGAAGGCCTTGCCCCCCTCGTCTCTGAAGATCTTCCTCCAGCAGTCGACGGTGCCCGTGTACATGATGTCAGCTGCAACGACAGGGAGACGGTGACACAGTGAGGGCCAAGCTCCTCGAGACACGGACGCCACCTGCACCCCTGAAGACGTTTTACAGAAGTAACACCCCGGACGCCTGAGCCACAGTTCTGATTACAGGAGGGAAACCCGAGGCTCTGGTGACCCCGTGCCCTGAGCTCAAGCCCTCCTCCTAAGCCACTGTGTCTAGGAGGGCTGGACACAGGACTTCAGGCCCCGCCCTGGGCGTCCCCCGTCTCCACCCCTGGCGTCCACGTAGAGACGGCAGGATCGAGGGTGTGGATACGGGCGGAGGTTCTAGGAGGTGGGGATGTAGCAATTGCTGCCTGGACCATGAAACCCCCAAGATCAGAAGCCCATCATTCAGGAAAATCCTTCCACACAGCCGGTTACTTTCTGACACACTGCTGCCTCCCACGCTGGGGGGGAAGTGCCTCCCACCGGCCCAGGCCAAGGAGCTCCTGGTTCCCCTTCCCACTAGCAAGGGTCTCCCGCCTCCCGAGCCCGCGCGGGTACCTCCTTTGCGCCCAGACTGCATCATCATCCGCCGCCGGACCGTGTCGAAGGGGTAGGAGACCACGCCGGCCACGGCCGTCACGGTCTGCGCGATCATCCAGCTGACCACGATGTGCGTGTTCTTGGGGTCGGGGAGCATGCCTGCGGGGGAACGGCACGTCACCTTCCAGCGCCTGCACGGCCACCGGAGACCAGGCTCAGCCTCCGCTGTGTGCTCACGGCCACCCGAGGTGGTGCCGAGCGCTTCCAAGACCACCCGTGCCCCCTCCACGTGGCTGCTCAGTGCCAGCTGATGTTTACAGCACAAAAGGTCGCGGCAGGGCCAGGAGGGGAAGAGGCCGCCGGCCACCTACCGGAGCTCAGCAAGACAGTTCCAGAGGCCGGGGTTAGGCCCGTTGGGGGAAAAGCGAGGGCCCTGACCTTCTACAGGGTCACAGTTACGACGGGAGTTACATTGGGTCCTCAAAATCCACATGCTGACGTCCCACCCCCCGCACCAGGGCCTCAGAATGCAACTGTACTTGCATGTGAGGTCTCTGAAGAGGTGAGGAACAGTAAAGGGGGTCAGCAGGGTGGGCCCCCATCCTATGAGCCTGGTGTCCTTATAAGAGGAGATGAGGACACAGACACACACAGAGGGACGAGCCTGTGAGGACACAGGGAGAAAACAGTGTCTACAAGCCAAGGAGAGAGGCCTCAGGAGGAACCAGCCTTGCCCATACACTCATCTCAGACCTCCACCCTCCAGGACTGTGGAAGAATCAAAGTCTGTTGTTTATAATCCACCCAGTCTCTGGTATTCTGTGATAGCAGCCTGAGATGGACTAAGACATCCCATAAGAGGAGAAGATGAGGACACAGACACACACAGAGGGACGAGCCTGTGAGGACACAGGGAGAAAACAGTGTCTACAAGCCAAGGAGAGAGGTCTCAGGAGGAACCAGCCCTGCCCACACCTGGATCTCAGACGTCCAGCCTCCAGGACTGTGGGAGAATCGATGTCTGTGGTTTCTAAGCCACCCAGTCTATGGTATTCTGTGATAGCAGCCTGAGATGGACTAAGACATCCCATAAGAGGAGATGATGACACAGACACACACAGAGGGACGAGCCTGTGAGGACTCAGGGAGAAGACGGCGTCTCCAAGCCCAGGAGAGAGGCCTCAGGAGGAACCAGCCCTGCCCACACCATATCTCGGACCTTCAGCCCACGGGACCCCGAGGGAATGTCTGCGTATCGAGCCCCCGTCTCTGGGACTTTGCGACGGCCGCCACACGTACCCTTGGCCGTATCGTACACGCCGAAGTAGGCGGCCCGGTAGATGATGATGCCCTGCACGGAGACGCTGAAGCCCTGGTACAGGCCCCGGACGCCGTCGGACTTGGTGATCTTCACCAGGCAGTCTCCCAGGCCCCGGAACTCGCGCTCTGTGCCTGACTTTCCCACGTCCGCGGCCAGGCGGGTTCTGGCGAAATCCAGGGGGTACACGAAGCAGAGGGAGGTGGCGCCGGCCGCACCGCCGGAGGCCAGGTTGCCCGCAAAGTACCTCCAGAACTGCGTGTGCTTGTCCACGCCCCCCAGGAAGATCTGCTTGTACTTATCCTTGAAGGCGAAGTTGAGGGCTTGAGTGGGGAAGTAGCGGATGACGTTGGCCAGGTTGCCCCTCCAGAACGACAGCACGCCCTGCTCCTTGGGGATACGGACGATGCAGTCCACGATGCCCTTGTACTGCTTGTCGGCGGCGATCTGCTTGCTGGCGTGCTGGACCTGGGGGACGCAGAGGGTGTTCAGACCGGACCCGGGGCCAACCACCCGAAACATCCCAGGTACAGAGTGATTTTTTTTTGTTTTTTTTGACACAAAACACTCTTATTGCCCAAGTTGGAGTGCAATGGGGTGATCTCGGCTCACTGCAACCTCTGCCTCCCGCGTTCAAGCGATTCTCCTGCCTCAGCCTCCCGAGTAGCTGGGATTACAGGTGCCCGCCACCATGCCTGCCTCATATTGTTTATTATTTTTTTTTTTTTGAGACGGAGTCTTGCTCTGTTGCCCAGGCTAGGGTGCAGTGGCCGGATCTCAGCTCACTGCAAGCTCTGCCTCCCGGGTTTACGCCATTCTCCTGCCTCAGCCTCCCGAGTAGCTGGGATTACAGGTGCCTGTCTCCATACCTGGCTAATTTTTTTATTTTTAGTAGAGACGGGGTTTCACCATGTTGGCTGGGTTGCTCTCGAACTCCTGACCGCAGGTGATCCGCCCGCCTTGGCCTCCCGAAGGTGGCATGAGCCACTGTACCCGGCCAGAGTGCATCATCCTGTTTAGGTAACTAGCTTGTGGGCATTACTGGTAAGTTGTCCTCATCTATTTTTTTTTTAAAAAAAAATAGGGTCTCATGCTGTTACCCAGGTTGGAGTGTAGTGGTGCGATCTCACCTCACTGCAGCCTCCAACTCCTGGATTAAGCCATTCTCCCGCCTCAGTCTCCCGAGTATCCGGGTCTACAGGTACACAATCATCAAGCCCCACTAAGTTTAAGATTACTTTGAGAGATGGAGTCTTACTACGGTGACCAAGCTGCTCTCAAACTCCTGAGCTCAGGTGATCCTCCCTGGGCCTCTCGAAGCGCTGGGACACCCCGCCCTGCTAAGTTCTAAAAAAAATATTAAGCCGGGCACCGTGGCTCACGCCTGTAATCCCAGCACTTTGCAAGGCTGAGGTGGGTGGATCACGAGGTCAGGAGATCGAGACCGCTAACACGGTAAAATCCCCGTCTCTACTAAAAATACAATTAGCCGGGCGAGGTGGCAGGTGCCTGTAGTGCCAGCTACTCGGGAAGCTGAAGCAGGAGAATGACATGAACCCGGGAGGCGGAGCTTGCAGTGAGCTGAGATCGCGCCACTGCACTCCAGCCTGGGGGACAGAGTGAGACCCCATCTCAAGAAAAGAAAATTTTTTTTAAAGATGTGGGGTCTTACTACGTTGCCCTGGCTGGTCTCAAACTCCTGAGCTCAGGTGAGCCTCCCCGGGCCTCTCAAAGTGCTGAGTTACCCAGCCCTGTAAGTTTGAACATTTTTCTTAGAGATGGGGTCTTGCTATGTTGCCCTGGCTGGTCTCAAACTCCTGGAACACGCCACCCTGCTAAGTTTAAAATAATTATCTTAGAGGGCTGGTCTCAAACTCCTGAGCTCAAGCGATCCTCCCCGGGCCTCTCAACGCACTGGGACGCCCTGCTTCCTTCAGTTAAAATAATTTCTTTTTGAGGTGGGGTCTTGCTTTGCTGCCCCCTGCTGCTCTCAAACTCCTGGCGTCAAGCGATCCTCCCTGGGCCTCTCAAAAGCGCTGGGATCGCAGGCGTGACCTGTCCTTGCAGCCAAACCCATTCATTCCCATCACCGAGCTGGTCACTGGGAGTACAACGTGAACAACGACGTGCTGGCAGCAGTGTTGCTAGGCATCATGCTGCTTTCGATAACCCTCTCCCCAAAGACAAAAAAATGCATCGCTCTGGATCAGAATTACACAAATGAGCTACGAAGAGGGGGGTGAGAACCACCAGTAACCATATCCTGGTTATTCCAGGACACCTGCGGGCAGGCTCGCTGCCCCGTGGGCCTTAGAATTGCCCTTCACAGTGGACGGGGCAAGAGCAGACACCGGCCAGGCAACCGCCGGAAAGGTTGGTCCCAGCCCGGAGGACCCGCAGGATTGAGTTCAAGGTCAAGGCCCGCCCGCCCGCTGCAAGGTGCATCCCTGGGTCGTGCTCCATCGCGCATGCGCCCTCAGGCCCGTGCCGCATCCCCGCCGCCGGCCGGGCCCAGTGCGCACGCGTGGACGTCGCCACGCCCTGCCGCAGCGGTCACGTGACGCTTCTCCGGAAGCCGGCGGCGCATGGACAAAGCAATCGCGGCCTTCCACTTCCGGCGCCCGCCTGCAGGGTTCCGCTGCCCGCGTCCCCTCCCGGCCCGGCCACTCGGTTCCCGTCCCCCCATCCCCGGAGCGGCCGCGCCCGCGTCCCCACCTGCAGCAGCAGCTTGACCCGCTCGATCGGAGCCACGGCCGTCTTGGAGATGGCGGCGGCGATGCCTCCGGCCAAAAAGTCCTTGGCGAAGGAGATGGCCTGTTCCGTCATGGTGGCGGGGCGGGCAGCGGAACGGGCGGACAGCCGGAGAGCGGGCGCGGAGAGTGAATGGAGGGCGTCGCTGGCTCAGCCCTGCCGCCGCCGGGACCGAAAGGACAGAGCGGCCACCGCGCAGCCGCTAAGGCGCCGACGCCACGCCCACTCTCCGCCCCCACGCCCCCTCGCGCCGCGCCCATTGGCTGCGCCGCCCGGCCACGACCCGCCCCCGCCTGCGTGCCGCGCCCCCGAGGGCTGCCGGGAACCCCGCCGCGCCCCGCCCCGCTCTCCAGCGCACCGCGCCCATTGGCTGCGCTCCTCGGAGACGCCCCGCCCCGCACCCCGAGGTATGCCGGGAGTCAGGCTCCGCCCATGCGCCGTAGGGGCAGCGCGGGGGGTGTTCCGCGGCAGCCTTGACCTTGTGAAGGTCACGCCGCTGCCGGTACCCGAGCGGGCTGGCGGGCGGCTGCGGAGTCAGGAGCCCACCCTGGTACTCGGGTCGCTCCGAGAGCGCCACCCGCTTTCTCCCGGAGGCCGCGGCTACCCGGCCGGGATGCGCAACACGTGGTGTCCCGACCCCCGACCCTTGACCCTTGACCTCCAGGCGGCTCCGACCCCGTCACACTCTCCCGGGTTACACTTCGGGAGACCCCGTTTCCTGCCGGAGTGTACCCGGGGGACCCCGCGCCGCCCTTCGCGCCCGTCCTGGGTAGGGGGAGGTCCCTGGGCCTCTGACCTCTGACCCCGCGGTGCCCTCTGCGCTCGGGCTGGGTGTGGGGGGGGTCCCTGGGCCTCCGACCTCTGACCCCGCGGTGCCCTCCGCGCTCGGGCTGGGTGTGGGGGGGGGGTCCCTGGGCCTCCGACCTCTGACCCCGCGGTGCCCTCCGCGCTGGGGCTGGGTGTGGGGGGGGGGTGTCCCTGGGTCTCTGACCTCTGACCCCGCGCCGCCCTCTGCGCTCGGGCTGGGTGTGGGGGGGGGTCCCTGGGCCTCCGACCTCTGACCCCGCGGTGCCCTCCGCGCTCGGGCTGGGTGTGGGGGGGGGTGTTCCTGGGCCTCTGACCTCTGACCCCGCGGTGCCCTCCGCGCTCGGGCTGGGGAGCTGGGGGGTCCCTGGGCCTCCGAGCGCTCTGAAGCCCCGCCCCCGGCTGCCCTCCGCACTGGGGCTGGGGTCCCTGGGCCGCGCCACCGGCCCCCTCTGCCCGAATCTGCCTAGTGTCGTCGGTTGGGGCGGGCTGCGGCCGGGGTCCGCCCCTCCCGGCCTCCCTGTCCGCCCTTCCCTCCTCCGCCTTCTCCCCTCCCTTCCCGCTCCCGCCTTTCTGTTCCGGCCGGCCTCCTCTCCCTTGTCCCGGCTCTGTCCGCCCGGCCCTTGGCCCCCGGCCTCCCTCCTGCCCCGCTTGCCTTTCAGTTTGGCCTGCTTTCCCGCCTCCCTCCGTTCCTCGCCCTCTTTCCCCTTCGGGCGCCCTTTCTTTCGCCGCCCTGCCTTTTTCCTTCATGTTTTCTGTTCTCCGCTCTCTCCTTCCTTTCTTGGCTCGCGCCCTCTCTTCCTCTTTTTTCTTTATTCTCCTTCCCTCTTTTGCTTTCTTCTCTCCCTCCGGCGCCTTCCTCTGTTTCTGCTTTTCCTCCCGTCCGCTCTTAATGGTTTCTCCCTTTTTCCTTTTCTCCCCCTTTTTCCTCTTTCTCCCTTTTCTTCCTTTTCCTCTTCTTTCCTTCTCCTTCCTCTCTCCTTCCCTTCCTCCGTTTCCTCTTTCTTCCCTTCCTTTTTCTCTTTCCTTCCCTTTCCTTCCTTTTTCTCCCTTGTTGCCTCCTCCTTCGCCTCCTTTTCCCTTCTTTCTTTCCTGTCTCCCTCCCTCTCTGTTCCCTTTCTCCCCCCTCTTTTTTCCGTATTCTGGTGTTTTATGTATTTATGTTTGAACACAGTTTCGCTCTTGTTGTTCAGGGCGGACGCAACCCTCCCCTCCTCCCGCGGTTCAAGGGGATTCTCCTGCCCTCAGCCTCCCGAGCTAGCCTGGAATTACAGGGCACTGCCACCACGCCTGGCTAATTTTATAAGTAGTATATTGTTAGTAGAGATGGGCGTTTCACCACGTGGCCAGGCCTTGGCCTCGAACTGCCCCGACCTCATCGATTCGCCCCACATCGCTGCCAATGCTACAACAGCTGTGACCCCTGTGCATGGTGAGCCATGTCTGCCTTGGTCGCTGTCTTTTTCCTTCTTCTTTCTCTCTCCCTTTCTCGCCCTCTCTCCCTTCCCCCTCTTTTCTTTTCTTTTTATTCTTGTCCTGTCGTCGTTCTTTTCTTCCCGGTCTGTTTCTCCCTTTCGTCCGTTGTCCTCCTTTTTTTTCTTTTTTTTGTTTTTTTTGGCAAAGATGGAGCCTCCCGCTCTGCTCACCCAGGCTGGAGTGCCAGTGGCGCGATCTCGCTCACTGAACCGGCTCGCCCCGCCTCCCGGGGCTCCAGAGATCTCGTTCTGCTCCACCTCCTTAAGCTGACATTGACAGGCTGGTCACCACCCCCCCCGCCGCTGATTTGTGTGTACTTTTTATTTCTTTGTTTTATTTTATTTTTTTTTTCTTTTTTGAGACGGGATGTCTCGGCTGCTGTCGCCCAGGCTGTGGAGCTGCAGTGGGCGCGATCTCCGACTCACTGCACACCTCCACCTCCCAGGGTTCAGCGATTCTCCCACCTCAGCCTCCGCCGAGTAGCTGGGACTACAGCGCCGCCCCTCGCCCGGCTAGGTTTTTTTTGCTAGTTTTTAGTCGAGACAGGGTTTCACCGTAGTTAGCCAGGATGGCCGTTCCTCCATCTCCTGACCTCGTGATCCGCCCGTTCGCGGCCTTCCCAAAGTGCTGGGATTACAGGGCTTGAGCCACCGCCGCCCGGCCGT